TGTGAAAGAGAGAGACAGAGACAGAGACAGAGAGAGACAGAGACAGAGAGAGACAGAGAAGGAGAGGGAGATGGGGAGAGAAAGAAAAGAGAGTGTGTGTTTTCAGTGAGCAGGTGATTTATGTAGCCAGTGATTACAAGAGGCAGGATCTGAGGCAATATGGTATTTGGGATAACCTGAATCCATGTTTGAGGGCCATGGTCAATCGTATTGGGCTCCAGAATAAACTCTCTCTTATTATCATTGAGATGAGAGCTGTGTTTTTGTCTAGACACTTGTATGCACATTGTATGAGCATGTTTGAGACATCACTACTGAACGATCCTCAAGTCCCAAAAGTCAAGTTGGAGATGCACAGTTGAACATGGACACTGTCCATAGAAAGGAATCCAAAGCCTGCAGATATTGTCTGTTCAGCCCTGGCTGATCCTGCTAATAGCATTAAAATTTGGGCATTGAAATGTGTTTTATAGATGAAAGATGTTCAGTCGGATCCTCTAATGCTAAAGTATATGTTGGGGGGCATAGGGTAAAACAATGCCTCAGTTTCTGAAAGATTTATCTAACCATAGGCTTAAGACACTGACCAGCATCTCATTTACCTACTTATTGTCTTGAAGGCCAAAAATGCAGGGCTTCAACTCTACCCCAGGTTATAAGGGATATTTGAAGGGAGAGGGGAGTGTGTGTGTGCACTGGGATTTTTGGAGGGGTGTGTTTTCGTATTTTATTATTTGACAGTTTCATGTATGTATATAATAAATTTTAGTTATTTTTACCCCCATTATTCTCTCTCACCCCCTTCCCTCTTCCACTGAAACCCTTTTCTTCCTGAAAAGTCCCCCCCTCGAGTCCTATTTTTGTGGTTATTACATGTGTGACCCACTGAGTTTGCTTGACTGTGTGTGCTTGAGTAAGAAGTTATTTCCTGGGGTCTAGTTAACATACCAGCGGTTACACCACAGAAGAAAATAACTCCCTCCCCAGCAGTCTTTAACTGTCTACAGTCCCTCAGGGAAGGGATGGAATGGGGCCTCCCAAGTCCCTCCCCGATCCATGATGAAATGTTAATGGGCCTAATCAGGTGCTGATGTGGCATGAGTAAACACAGCTGTATCAAGTTCTTGAGTGCAATGTCACATCATGTCCAAAAGACCTTTTTTTGACTCAAAACTCCTCACCATCTTCTAGCTCTAAAGTTTTTCATACCCTAACCTCTGAAATATTCCCTGAGCCTTGGTGGGGATGATACAGATATTCCATTTAGGGCCAAGAACTCCACCACTGCTTATTCTTGTCATTTTGACAAGTTCTGAGTCTCTGCACCAACCACTGCACACAGCAATAAGAAGCATCTCTGATCAAGGCTAAGAGCAATACTAATCTATGGTACAAACATGAGTGTATAGAAAGCAATTTGACAACATGTCCAGTTAGCAAAACAGCAGTATTTGGAACCTCTCTAAGGTCTAAGACCTCCATAGCCATGGGATCTTGACCAAATTTATACTATCAGGCCCAGGCTCCCTCCTATGAAGTAGGCCCTAAATCAAATCAGAAAGATCATAATAATCTCACCACTACTGCATCAGTGATCACATCATGTCTAACAAGTCAGTATTGTAGCTACTGCTATGGCAGGGCAAGAAAGTGTAGCCATGACTCCATCTTGTAGTCTTACTGAGGCCATTTCAGGCTTAACTAGAATTTAATCACCTTGATGGAGATCCCATGGAAAATTACCCAACTCTAAACTATGAACCCAAGGTCAAGATGCCCCAGCTGACTTATCCTAATTCCTAATAAACTGAATGATTATGCACAACCCCCTCCATCTAACAGCTTATCTCAGCTTCTGTTAAACTGCTTGCTCCTGTGAAGCCTCCCTGTAGCCACTGAGCAAGATGCCAGGACATGGTTTTGCCTTCAAAATCACTGTGCTTTGGACAAATTGGGCCTACTCTTAGGTCCAAATGCCTGAGTGTGGTCCCAGCCAGCAGGAATAAAGTCTTTCAACTGGCTATAAACTATGTCTGAGTGGTCTCCCTGTGAGAGTTGTGGGCTCCTGTGACAGGGGAACAAGGCCTCGTGGCTTTTCTCTACTAAAACATGAAGAACACATTCCAGAACCATGAAAGCTCACCAGCAGGGAAGAAGCGTCCAACTCAGTTCTAGCTTGATTCCTCTGTATGCTGTACCCAAAGGGCATGATGGTATCTTCAGTAACAGGGTCTTCCCATCAATGTCTGATGGGAAGCCAAGAGCAATGTCCATAGTCTGCATTGTTTGGGGGACTCTGAGGGCTGCCTGATAAACAACTTTTAGCACTGGAAGTATCAATAGCCTATGGTTTCTGAGAGGAGCAGTGTCCACCTGTGCAGGATATCTCCATTCAACCTCTTGTATTAATTATGTTTTAATGAGCTTATAAAGCAGATGGTTTCCAATGTTTCTTCCATACATCCTTAGTTTGAGTTATACCCATCCCCATCCTATGCCCTGCCCTCCACCTTGCTTTTTTGAGACATGATCTCTCACTGGATGGAACTTGCCAAGTGCTGCGGGCCGCAGAAATATATCATAAGAACTCAGCTGGTTATGGCAAAGTCACTACCTGGAGGGATCAGGGAATTCCTCCAGAGGAAGCCAAATCCCAAGGAGTTTTTGGTGTTACTTGGCTTGTTATATATCAGCTGTCTTCTGTTATGAAAATCATGTGTGCCTTCATAGTTTTCCCA